CAATCCCTGTGAGTTTTATCGCTAACTTAAAGTCACTTTCCCCCGGCCTGGGTGATTTGAGATGGAATGAGCCATATATATAATACGCGAAGGCATTTTTTGTGCACCATAAAAGATCTGTACTGTTCGCTCGATTTTCAAAAATGGGGTGCCAAATTAAAGCACTTGGCCTGTAGATATGCAAACTGGTTTTATTTTTTCGAAAGGAGTTGCTACCTGTTAAATAATTAAACTCAAGTTATTTACTAAGCAATGCCCTCAGATCCGCACCGTCCGTTCGATTTTCAAAAGTTCAGTACCAAATTAAAGGGCTTAGTGTGATGATGTTCAAGAAGGTTTTACTTTTTCGAAAAAAGTTGCCACCTGTTAAGAAATTAAGCTCAAGTTAATTAAAAAGTTAAATCAATTATTAAATATGGGTATCAATCGAAATGGTTTTGAAAAGGCTTTATAACTTAACTACGTATAGGAGAGTTGCCACATGTTTAAAAAAATGTAATTAAATTTTAATTAAAGGAATTTGGTAAGTGTATAAGGTATCGCTATATGGGTGTCACACAAAAGAGGTTTAAGAAGGTAGTAGCTTGGAAATATTTTGAATAGGGTTGCCACCTATTTGAGAAGTCCAATTGAACTATTTTATACCCAATTTATATGAAACATTAACGATGGATGTCAAATGAAAGAGCTTTAAGCAATACTTAGTTTGACTATTTAGAACATTTTTGATGTATTTGAGGGTTGCCCAGCTTAAAAGGCTAAACTAAAATTATTTATTATAATAAAGGAATTACTAACCGATGGTAATCAATGGAAATGGGTTTAAAATCCTTTATGTAAGAACTATATTTAGGAGGGTTGCCACGTGTTTAAAAAATGAATTTCCACTTAATTCATCAGTTACTTGAAATATTTGTAAAAATGTCAGGCGAAAAATATTTAAGGAAATTTTAGTTCGAAAATAATTTTTAAGAGGGTTGCCGCCTGTTTTGAAAGTGGTATTTCGTTTAATTATACATAAGTTACATGAAATTTTAAAATATGGTTATCAAAAGAACGAGTGTTAAGAAATCTTTAAGCTAAACATTTCGTTTTTTTTTGTTGAAGAAATTAAGCTCAAATTATTTAATAAGTTAAATGGATTGTAAAAAGATGGGTATCAATCGAAATGGGTTTGAAAATAGTTTATTTCTAAATTTTATTTAAGAGAGTTGCCATGTGCTTAAAAATACTAAATTCAAATTAATTCATAATTTAATTGAAATATGTATAATAATGCCAGGCGAAAGATTTTAGTTTGAAAATACCTTTAAAGAGGTTGCCACCTGTTTGAAAAGTCGAGTTTGTTTTACTTATACGAAAGATACATAAATGAATTATCAAAATATTAGCGTCAAACGAAAGAGTTTTAATAAAATTATAGGCTGGTAATATTTTTAATTAGAGTTGCCATCTATTTTTTTTTGAAGGTCATCACATCTGCAACGTTATTTCGAATTTCCAAAATGAGAAGTCAAATTAAAGAACTGGGATTCTACATAGATGTGCACAGGTTTTACATTTTGAAGTTACAGGGAGATTTGAAAGTATTTCTCTAAAATTTCATTGTGCTGTTTATTTCGCCGCCGTGGTCGAGTGGGGAGAGGAGCGCAGTGCAGCTTTGTAGGTTGAGGGTTCAATTCTTGGTCTGAGCAATATAAAAAAAAAGAATTGTTTTTGCATTCCGGCCTTCAAAAAGCTTCTCATGAAATCAATTTGCCCTTCGGAGGCGGCGTAAAATTGTAGATGCCTCCTCTTTGTGTGGCACCATCATTGCGCGCACCATAAATTGTAGTTTAGGAGTCATTTATTATGTCGTTGGCTTTGTCCAACATTGGTTGTTTCCGCCGCAAGGGAGTAAATCCCCAGGGGTTAAAGTGTGGTAAGGGTGACGTTTGTATTACAAGCATGAAACGCGGGAGGGGCTGGTTGGTCTGCAAATCAGGAATGGGATCTCCGCGATCACCTGTCGGGAGCATGCATACCAGTGGTGCACAGCGTCGACAGACCTACCAATACCAGCGCAACATTTTTGTCTTAGTATGTGTACACTAGCAAACGCAAACTACCCTGCAAAAAATTGTGCGACTAATCTCTAAAGAGGGTATTCCGAGATTACTCTCAATTGGGTACAATTGGCCATTAATTACTCCCAACTAGTCTCATACGGGTACTAATGGAGGTCAATTAGTCTCGACTCTTCCCTTATGGGTTTAATTGGAGATCAATTAGTCCCCAACTTATCTCTAACGGGTACTATTAAAGATTTAATGATATGTACGCACTTAGTCAATGAAATTTCATGTGCGGCGTTGGCACACAGAGAGAGTATTCGCCTAACAAACCTGAGAACCCCGGTTCGAATCTCAGCTGGCGGAAATTTTTATTTTTATTTCATAAAAGTGACTAGTCGCTTTTTATACCCGTTCTGGTATAAAGGTGAACAATTAGTCTCTTCATAGGACATGCTCGAACGAAAGCGATCAGTTCATTCCATATAAAGAGATCAAAAGTGGTATTAGTCGCATGCTCCTTTGCGATTACTCCCGGAGTCATCCCGGATTAAGGATTATAAAGGACTTGGCTTTGGGGCCTAAATAGCCTTTGAAAATGTACTACCGGGGCAATAGTCAGATTCCTGAGTAATCTTGGTGTCAAAGCTGACCTCGTTGGGTTCATGCGCCGCATTATCAGCGACAGAGTGGTCGCTGCGGATTTGGGGACGACCATCCAGCGCAGAGTTAACAGAGGCACCCTCCAAAGTGGTGTCCTCTCACTTCTTCTCTGGATCGTGGTCGAAAAACGTTAATACGGGAGAGATATGGCCTTTGTTAAAAGCTTATTTCCGGGCTCTATGAATCTATAGTTAAGTCCAGTATGTTCTGTGGACTCCTCGGCTGGCGTTAGACCTATAAGAGTTATCGCTCATAGGGATATGGCAGGAAACTATGCGGGTGATGAACTGGGCACCATTTAAGCAAGAAAAGAGAGTGTGGGAGCTCCCTTGAAAACTTGTGCGCTTCTTTTGATGGACCTTGGGTTTACTCAGCGAACGTTGAGCGAAAAACAGAGCTTGCGCTAATGCAAGGTCATTTTGGCTGAGAATGGACCGTGGACGGTGTAGGGAACTTTTTATGCTCGCGAAGCCGGATCTCCCCATTCTGGTATNTTGCCACCATCCAGCGCAGAGTTAACAGAGGCACCCTCCAAAGTGGTGTCCTCTCACTTCTTCTCTGGATCGTGGTCGAAAATACGGGAGAGATATGGCCTTTGTTAAAAGCTTATTTCCGGGCTCTATGAATCTATAGTTAAGTCCAGTATGTTCTGTGGACTCCTCGTCTGGCGTTAGACCTATAAGAGTTATCGCTCATAGGGATATGGCAGGAAACTATGCGGGTGATGAACTGGGCACCATTTAAGCAAGAAAAGAGAGTGTGGGAGCTCCCTTGAAAACTTGTGCGCTTCTTTTGATGGACCTTGGGTTTACTCAGCGAACGTTGAGCGAAAAACAGAGCTTGCGCTAATGCAAGGTCATTTTGGCTGAGAATGGACCGTGGACGGTGTAGGGAACTTTTTATGCTCGCGAAGCCGGATCTCCCCATTCTGGTATTTGAATTGACTGGCCACTGTCCTATCGAGATTCACGCATTGAGATTAAATATTTTACTGGGCCCTTTTGTCGCAGCTGCGTGGAGGACGACGAGGTGGAATAATTTCAACACTTCCTCTTATACTGCACAGCTTCTGCCAGATTACGACTTAGGTAGTTGGGTTCGTACTTCTTGACTAGTCCCCAGGAGCTCTCCTGTCCATAACATGGTCAAATATAGGATCTTTTTTTTAATATTTATGTAACAAAATATGCCAGCATAAGGATTTTAAATATATACCTGATATATATATATATTTTTTCCAAAAATCCGTAACTTGGTGAAAATATCGACCATCACATGACGTGGTCGTACTCAACTGTTAGCTATTTTGTAGCTGTGAAAAGTATTGGCCTCGTAATTTTTTAACTAAAACAAATCTAATGTATATGAGCCATTATTTTTTAAGTCGGACGGATATCGTAAAAAAAATTATGTCATGTCTCCGATTCGCTTAAATTTTTTTTTTTGTTTGACAGACCATATCTCCGAAGAAAAAAGAAAAAAAAAAATTTCTCGAACATGTGTTAGCTTATTTCATGTATAGAACCCATTAAAAAAAATTGTAAGCCAATCGAAAGTGTGACACCAAATTTGGTGCCCGATATGAAAAAGAATGTCTCATATGCGACCTGAAAATTTGTCTCAAACCTGCCTTTTTACACAATTTCACTTACTATTCAACAGATTTTTGTGAAATTCATAAACTACTATTTGCGTGCTCCTTAAGTTTTATTTTGTTATTACACTTTTGTTTTAGAAACGTGCTTCTTGTTTTATTCCTTAATGGGAAAGAAAGACATGTTCTTCTCTCGAGTAAAAAAGGCAGCTTATTTGGCACTTAACTTTTTTCTGGTTGGCACTTTTTTATCCCCAATATGGCCCTTTATAGGTAGGGATGTTTGTAACCCTGGGAATGGGATCACTTTAATAAATTCTAGTGTATATGTACATGTACTTTTATATACATATGTATGTATGTGCAGCCGAGTGGTTACAGGTGCATACTACCACTGGTCAAAGCAACAACCCAAAATATTATAGAAAAAGGTTTTTTTTAACAGCGGTAGCCGCTCGGCAATGTCAAACCTTCGAATGTATTTCTGCCTTGAAAAAGCTTCTCATAAAATCCATTTTCCTTTTGCGGGCGGTCCTTCCATTTGTGTAACAACATCCAGACGCACACCACTTAGCAAAAGTGTAAGCGTCGAAATATTATTGTTCTAATTATGTATTTATGTATGAATATTTATGTATTCTCATACTTATATATGATTATCTAGAAAAGTAACAGTCAACATTTGATTTAAGTTAACAGACGAAGATGCTGCACAGGAAATAAGAGGTAACGCCGTAAACATCGCTCGCCAATTGCAACGGCCAAAGCGCTTCGACGACGTTGACGATGATTCAGCAATGGAGGACATGAATGATTGCAATCGAGCCAATAACAGTGATGGGCGAAACAGCATTTACCGCCGCCAAACAATTTTCAAGTTGCATGAGAGTCGAAATAAAACATCTCGCGATTATAGTGATTTGCCAAGAAACTTCGAAAGGCGGTTCCTTGGCGAAGGTATTTTTTTCGTTTACACAATGTTGCTTTTGTCATACTTTTTTGATATCTGTTATTACTTGGTTTCAGACGAGATAAATGTGAAACACATCTCAATGAGTAGAAAATCATTGGTGATGTTGAATGAAAAGCGTAGTATTGCGAAAAGACGACTCACAGATCAAGTACAGCGTAACACGGACTCTAACAAATATCCTGTAACTTTTTCTCCAACTGGATACACAAATGTAGCTTTTGAGCCCACAATTAGTATTATTTCTAATTACCTTCCAAATGATTCTGGGGAATGGTAATTTTAAAAATGGTGGTGATTAAAATGGTGGCTTCAGATAAGCTGGATTCATTTGTATACATACATATATGTGTATGCATGTGAGCAAAGTAAAAAATCTAAACTGAAAAATTTTATGAAGGGCAAATGTTTATAGCTCCTAAATGTACATATCCTCAAACATATGCATCAGACACTCAAAATTAAAAAACAATATATGTATTGGACGCCCTATTTTTGGCCACATGTTTGATTTATGATATTTCATTTCTGGGAAAAAGGGTTTGGCATTGTCTGCTTAGGACGAATTCACTTTTCGTGTCCGGACAATGATTTAAAACCAAAAGGTAGATAACACAGGCGAAATTGAGCTTCGCCCGCCCCTTCAACAATTATAATATTTTTTTTTTTTTTATATCTTTGATTTTTTTCTAGCACGTCGAATTTTATTTTTATTGACGATATGCACATTTTAGAATTTTTAGCAATTTGCATGAAAGCTAAAGATTAATTAATTGAGAATACGCGGTAACTTTAAGAAGAATGATAGAAGTAATTAGGAGTGCGATGGGGCTATACTCAGTGTTGCCGCGAATCATTTTTAGTGGTAGCCAAATTCCTTTAAAAAAAGGGCTAAAAAAGAGCTAAAAAAAGTCGTTGTGGTTGCCAAATTTTTTTACTTGTATATACATATATAGCATAACCACTTTGCTAATTTGTTAATAGAGACTCGAGTGGATGATTTAATACTATTATTTATTAAGAAATAATTACTAAGCAATATTTAAAGTACAAAGTATACGAATGTGTGACTGTTCGACGTTGAGCGCTAGGTGCACGGTCCGTTCACCACCGTAGTTCCAGAAGAAAAGGAAAGAGAGTAGACTGTGCGTGGTATGAGTGTCTGTTTTCTACGGTGACGTTGTGGGTAAGGATGTGCGCTCTGTGTTGGTAAGTGTTCTGTGTTGGTAAGCGTTTGTGGTGTATTTGAAGTTTGAGATGGCGAGGTTGCCACATCCACTCCCCTCCCAGTGTCTTGGTCCGCAGGGACATGGCACGACTTTTTTATGTTTGCTTCTTGGTTGGCGTTGTCTGGCATCTGTGTTTGTCTAGGTAATTGCTGATCGTCGGTGACATCAATGTAGGCGGGCTTCAACATGTCAGTGGAAACTGTTTTGTCTGCTCCATTAATTTTGACTACGTAGACTTTGTCATCGATCCGTCTTACAACCTCATGTGGCCCTGTGTATGGTTGCTCCAATGGTTTTTTGATGGAGTCTACGCGTTTGAAAACGTGGGTGCACGTGTCGAGGTCTTTTAGGATGAACATTTTTGGTTTGCTGTGATGAGCTGTTGGGGTTGGCCTGACCTCTCGAATATGTTGCCGGAATTCTCTTATGAATGCCTGAGGGTCTGCAGGGGTGCTTTCAGAAACAAAGAATTCTCCAGGTAGGCGTAGAGGTGTCCCAAAGAGCATCTCAGCAGGAGAGGCTTTCATATCCGGTTTGTACGTAGCACGAAGTCCAAGTAATACGGTTGGTAAGAGCTCTGGCCAGGGTGTTTGGGCGTTACACATGAGGGCAGCCTTGAGTGTACGGTGCCATCGCTCTACCATGCCGTTGGACTGGGGGTGGTACGGCGTCGTCCTGATGCGTTTGATCCCCAGTAGCCGAGAGAGTGATGTGAAGAGGGCTGATTCAAATTGTAGTCCTCTGTCCGTGGTGATCGTGAGCGGAGTGCCAAATTGACAAACCCATTGTGAATAAAATGCTGATGCTATAGTGTCGGCTGTGATCGTTTTGAGTGGAATAGCGACTGGCCATCTGCTGAATCTGTCAATGATTGTCAGACAGTAGCGTAAATCTCCAATTTTTGGCAGCTCTATGAGGTCCAGGTGAATATGTTCGAAGCGATTATCTGGTATGTCAATGTGACTCGGTGTGGTGCGATTATGGCGATATACTTTTGATCGTTGGCATGGAATGCATTGCCTAGCCCACAAGAGTGCATCTTTCCTGACGCCCGGCCAGACGAACCGTTCCCTTAGTTGCTTTGCCGTGGATCTGCCGCTGGGGTGTGAAAGACCGTGGATTGTATTGAAGGCCTCCCGCCTTATGGAGGCTGGAATGTACGGTCGTACCGCGTTGTTCGTGATGTCGCAATATATGTTTTGGCCTTCAATGTTGAGCAGATGAAGCTTAAGCGATGTGTTATGTTGCAGAGTGGCCAGTTCGTCGTCATCTTGTTGTGCCTCAGCAATGGTTTTTGCGTCCAGTCTGGTTGGCATGTTGATGGTGTTGATTCTCGACAGGGCATCAGCTACGACATTCTCGGATCCCTTAGTGTGGACGATCTCCGTTGAAAATTGTGAGATGTAGTCGAGTTGGCGGAGTTGACGTGGTGATGCTTTGTCAGAACGTTGAGAGAATGCGTATATGAGCGGTTTGTGATCGGTTTGTATTGCGAAGCTTCGCCCCTCAAGAATGTGTCGGAAGAATTTGATAGATGCGAAGACAGCCAGGAGTTCGCGGTCATAAGTGCTGTACCTGGTCTCCGCTGGGCTGAGTTTGCGCGAGAAGAAGGCTAGTGGTTGCCAGGTTCTCCCTTGAAATTGTTCGAGTGCACCCCCAATCGCCGTATCTGATGCATCTGTTCTTAGCGAGAGTTGGGCGGTTGGTATGAGGAAGGCCATGCGTGTGGCGTGGACAATACTTTGTTTGCAGTTTACCCATGCTTCCTCAATAGCTGGTGTCCAGGGGATCTTGCGCTTGTCATTTTTTTTTTGCGTTTTTGAGGAGGTCGGTGAGCGGTCCTTGCGTTTTGGCTGCTTCCGGGATGGACCTGCGATAATAGTTTATCACGCCGAGGAAGCGACGAAGATCGTTGATGGTCTCGGGTCTTGGATAGTCGGCAATCGCCTGGGTTCTTTCAGCTGGTGGAGAGTATCCGCTCTTATTGATGGTGTAGCCAAGGTAGCTGACCTCTGGTTTTCCAAACTGGCACTTCTTGGGATTGATGGTCAGACGATTTGCCCGCAGAATATCGAAGACAGTAGTCACGTGCTGAAGGTGTTCCTTGTGAGACCGAGAGAAGATGATAAGGTCGTCTATAAAGCATCCCACGAAGTCCAGACCCCGGAAAAGGTTGTCCATGTGTCGCTGGAAGGTCTGCGTGGCGTTTCGAAGGCCTGGAGGCATGCCCAAAAACTCGTATAGTCCGAATGGTGTGGTCACAGCAGTCTTGGGTATGTCAGCTTGAGCGACTGGTATTTGGTGGTAGGCCCGAACGAGATCGATGGTGGTGAAGACGGTGGAACCGTGTAGGCGTTGGAGGATGTCATCGCAGTGGGGTACCGGATACCGATCTGGAATGGTTTGAGCGTTCAGTTTTCTATAGTCACCGGTGGTGCGCCACCCTCCAAGTTTTTTGGGAACCATGTGTATTGGACTCGCCCACTGACTGCTGGACGGGCGGATGACGCCGTGGTGTAGTAACAGGTCAAAGTCGTCTTTAGCAATTTTTAGTTTCTCGCCAGTGAGACGCCGTGGACGCTCGAATACTGGTGGTCCAGTGGTCTCGATGTGATGAGCAGTTGCACTGTTCGTGTCAGTGATAGGGCTGGTATTTGGTCTCGTGATGTCAATAAAGCGATTGAGGAGCTCTAGATAGCTGGCATCAATGTCATCTGAGCAGATGGACTGATTGATGGTGGAGATGCTGTGTATGATGGCCTCAGATAGTTGACCCTTCGTGGTGAGTGATGTGGCTGAGTCAATAAGACGGCGCCCCCTCAAGTCCAACATCAGTGCAAAGTGAGCAAGGAAGTCTGCGCCGATGATAGCTGACTTGACATCTGCTATAATGAAGGACCAACTAAACCTTCGACGGAGATTGAAATCGAGTGACAACACTTTCTGGCCGTAGGTGCGTATGATAGTACCGTTGGCAGCGTATAATGTGAGCTCATCTTGTTTGAGCTGGAGATTAATGGCGGTCTTCGGTACCAGTGAGATTACTGATCCTGAATCAACGAGGAACCTCATGTTCGTCGTGTTATCATGTATGTGTAGGCGATGTTCTTTTGAAGGCGGTGTGCTGGTACAAAAGCTGTCGCCGGCCGCCTGAACGGTCGACAGCGAAATCAGTTTCCCGAATTGGCTTTGAAGGTACACGGTAACACGCAGCGCTTAGCCTTTTCTCCGTGCTTGCGATGGTAGAAACACAGCTTGGCGGGCGCCGATGATGCCTCTCTAGCGTTTGAGCGTTGCTGGCCGCGACCACGCGATGCACGGTGTGGAGGGTTCTGAGTGAGAGTCTGCGTGAGCTCTTTGGTGCAGGTAGCGAGGTCGGCCACGGCGAGTTTCATACTGGTAATGTCCTTGGCCAGGCTTGTAAGGATGGTATCCGCGAGCTTGCGGTCTGCTACTGCATGGCTAGGGTTGGTGTACGTGGCCATTACGCCCGTGCCAGTCTGATTTTCCATCAGCTCGTCAGCGATCTCTGCCTGTTCTTCAAGCGTTGTATTTCTAAGGAGCTTTATGCACCTCACGATTGCTGGTGGTAGCAGTGCGAGCCACCTGACTCGGAGTACGTCTCCTGTTGCAGAGCTGCCTGTGAGGATTTTTAGCTGACGTAAAAGCTGACTGGGCTTCTTGTCCTCCAACTGTATTTCAGTGAGGGCTCGATGCAGTTGACGATCTGTGGATTCGGTGAATCGTTTTATTATTTCGTCTTTGAATTTAGCATACTTATCATTATCAGGCGGATTGTGTAGGAAATCGGCCATCTGCAGTATGGAGTCCGTATCCAGAGCGCTAACGACTTGGTTGTACTTGGCCAGATCCGATGCGATACGGTTGCTGTGAAACACGGCTTCGGCTTGGATGAACCATAGTCTGGGTTGGGTTTTCCAGAACGGTGGTATCTTGTAGCTGGACACAGCTTCTACAGCGGCTGGTGCCGTGGGTGCAGCTGCTTGGCTTGTCGATTGACCGTGGATAGTGCTCATGTTCGTTTCAGGCGGTGGAGAAACGTCCAACAACGTTTTACCCAATGAAGCAGACGCGTGGCTGTCTGATAGCTTGGTCGGTGTATGGTCCAACGGCATATCGCGCTAGTGCGAGCTGGAACACCACGTTAGCACGGAGCACCCTTGACTTTGACTCTTGTACAATTTTGTGGTCCTTTGCTGTGTTGTTCGTGTAAATGCAGTAAAAATCGCGATGATACTTTGGCGTTT